AAGGGCTCTTACAGGGTTAACTTAGGGTAGTCTATCAACTACAGGTGGTTTTAGAAATTCATTTTCTCCTGATGCATATTTCTAAATTAATGAACCTATTAGATACAGTGATTAGTAATAAGACCATTGTGTTTTATTCCATTTAGAATGTCACTGTACAAGGTGGAAAATAGGCATGAGCTGCTTTGTATTATTCATGGAACCTATGGACCCCCCAGCCACAGAGGAATTGAAGGAACTTAGAACTCACCAAATGTGCTTTCAAAAAGGATAACATCGGAGAACACTCTTAAGAATAGCATCTTTAGGAATTGGGAAGAAAATTACCACTATGCAACACAGTTTCTTTCTTAGCATTTAAATAACTTTACAGTCTGTTGGTTTCCTTTTTTTTCTTTTCTGGATTATGTCTAAATTTAATATTGAAGACAGCACTTAGCATTTCTCTGGCCTAATCTTATTTGCCATGATAAATGTGTGCATTTGCTTCAATTACCTTAGGAATTACTAGAGATTGCTTCAGAGTTTTTCCTGCACTTTAATGTTCTGCCTTCTTTTGCTCATTATTGTGATCACATACAGTTTTGTAGCTCTATTGCTTGAAGAGATTTCACAAAAAAATAATTTTAATAAATGTCATGTACAGTATATTTGCATGAATTGCCTCGTGAATTTGAAATTCCAGAAGCTATAACTCTGTTAACTGAAATGCTTTAACCTGGATCTCAATATGTGAAAAATCATTTAAGGCTGAATTGGCTTCAGCATGTAACTCTTTGAAAATAGCCTAAAGTAACTGTGAGTTCCGGAACTAGTGCCAAAAGATTATTCACTCTGCGCCTTTAAAGAAAGGCTGTGGCTTTTTATTTATTTATACATATATGACACATACTACTAAAGAAAAATAAAATTTTAACATTAAGTACATTAAAATCAATGAAGACAAAGATGATTAAATGTCTCATCTCTCTGAACAATGTTAAGTCATGGGATTTCTCAACCATCAAGTCACAATGTGAGCTCCCACCCTAAAGCAGAAAGAGAAATATGACTGAAGAGATATCCCTACTATATATAGTCCAGGTATGGTGGCTTACCCAGTGCTTTGAGAGGCCAAGATGGGAGGATTGCTTAAGGCTAGAAGTTCTGAGACCAGCCTAGGCAACATAGCGAAACCTCATCTCTACAAAAATAAAAAAAAGCTGAGCATAGTGGTATGTGGCCATAGTCCTAGATACCTGGGAGACTGAGTCAGGAGGATCACTTGAACCCAGAAGTATGAGGCTGCAGTGAGCTGTGATCACCACCAGATCAGGTCAGGAGACCCACACTTTGCAGAGTGGGAAGCAGAAGCTCCACATGGTTCAATTACATTCCCAAGATTGCCCTGGTCTGTACCAGATAAAACTGATTGACTTGTAATCCAATACTCTTTTCCTATGTCATGAAGCCCCCCAAAAGTCTAGAAAAACAAACTTCTGGCTGGCCACAGTGGCTCACACCTGTAATCCCAGCACTTTGGGAAGCTGAGGCCGGAGGATCACTTGAGGTCAGGAGTTCAAGACCAGCCTGGCCGACATGGTGAAACCCCGTCTCTACTCAAAATACAAAACTTAGTGAGACGCAGGGGCACATGCCTGATATCCCAGCTACTTGGGAGGCTGAGGCAGGAGAATCACTTGAACCCAGGAGGCAGAGGTTGTGTTGAGTCAAAATTGCACTACTGCATTCCAGCCTGGGCGACAGAGCAAGACGCTATCTCAGAAAAAGAAAAGAAAAACAGACAAACTTCTATAAACTGATGGTTTGAAGATGCATTATAATGCCATATATGGACTAAATTGTGTTCCCCCAAAATCCATATGTTGAAGCCCTAACCCACAGTGTGACTGTATTTGGAGATAGGTCCTAGAAGGAGGTAATTAGGTTTAATGAGGTCAGAATGGTAGGGCCCTGGATTAGTGTTCTCATAAAAAGAGGCACCAGAGAGTTTATGCTCTCTCTCCCTCCACTATGTGAGGACACAGCTAGAAGGCTCAGGAAGAGAGTCTTCACCAGGAACCAACTCAGCAGACACCTTGGTCTTAGACTTCCCAGTCTCTAGAACAGTGGGATATGAATTTCTGTTGTTTAAGCCATCTAAACTATGGTCTTTCATTATGCCAACCTGGGCAGACTAAGACACACTGCTAAGATTAACATTAAAGTGAGGAAAATTCTGGAAAAAACAGAGAGTCTTTGGATACCATATAATCTAACTGGATAATAATATAAACTCAAAATACTGGCAAAATAAAAAAGGAGAAGAGGTGAAATTTCTTCTCATAATTGCTCCAAAACTATCTGTTCAAGGCATACAGTTCAGAAGACAGACGGTGATAAAATAGATGATGGTGATTTAAGTATCTGTAAAGCAGAAGTACTGTTGGGGATTGGCCGCTGAAACATGAATGTTTATGTGTCTAAACCTCCTACACCAACTTCAGTGAGCTGTACTTAGAAAAGCAGCCCCTCACATTCAAGAGCTGGCCTGGTGCTACCAACCAGGACTTGATTTTCCCCTGTTGGACATAAACAATCTCACAGAAGATTGACAGCAGACAATGCCACCCTGTGACCACGACGGATCAGGACAAAAACAAGACAATTCCACAACTGTGTGTGAGCACAAACAAATTAGGAACGTTGTCCAAGCCACAAGATGCATGACATCCCCTTTCCCAGCTACTATGAGCATTTGCTGCTGTTATACCAATTATATTAACTTCAGTCTAGTCTGCCCCATATAGAGATACGAATTACTCTATCAAGATACCCCATCAGAGAGTTATCCTGCTTACTGATAACATCCAATTCAGAGCAAAGCTTCTGAAAGTCCTCCCTAAACCACCTGGTACAAGCCCAAATCCTTTCTGTCTTTTCCAACACCCACTGGCTGAGACTTTCCACAGTCCTCCATTCTCTCCCTACAAGGAGTAACAGACCAATGTATTCAACTATATCACAGGCTAGATAGCACTGACTAGGGTAGCTGAACCATGTGGCCTCGACTCATACTGCCCCATTTTGTTTGTCTTAGGAAAGTTCACCAGGGGGGTGAACATACTTTAAAAACTAAAGGTTTTTAAGGCACAGTGGCTCACACCTGTAATCCCAGCACTTTGGGAGGCCGAGGCAGGTAGATCATGAGGCTAGGAGTTCGAGACCACCCTGGCCAATATGGTGAAGTCCCATCTCTACTAAAAACATAAAAATTAGCCAAGTGTAGTTGTTCACACTTGTAGTCCCAGCTACTCAGGAGGCTGAGGCAGAAGAATCACTTGAACTCAGGAGTCAGAAGTTGCAGTGAACCAAGATCACACCACTGCACTCCAGCCTGGGCAATAGAGCAAGACTCTGCCACCAAAAAAAAAAAAAAAAAAAAGCTCAGAATTGTAAATTTTACAATCCCATTGTCAAGTTTTGTTCAGTTTGTTTTTGTTTTTGAAACAGGTTTTGACCAGGCTGGGGTGCAGTGACACAATCATGACTCACTACAGCCTCAACCTCCCAGGCTCAAGTGATCCTCCCACCACAGCCTCCCAAGTAACTGGGGCCACAGGTGCATGCTACCATGCCCAGCTAATTTCTAAAGTTCTTTTGGCAGAGACAAGGTCTCACAATGTTGCCCAGGCTGGTCTCGAACTCCTAGGCACAAGTGATTCTCCCGCCTCGGCCTACCAGAGTGCTGGGATTACAGTCATGAGCCACTCTGCCTGGCAGTTTTCTTCTTTTGCTTTAAAGTAAGACAGAAATCAGACTGATATACCAAAGGCATTCATCACACTGAAATTTAAACAACCATGAGGCTCCTGCACAGTCAACAGCAATCCTATTTACTGTCTGTATTATTACATGTCAGAGGTATGACTCTGATTAACAAATTAAATGGCCTCCTCAGCCAGGTGCGGTGGCTCAAGCCTGTAATCCAAGCACTTTGGGAGGCCAAGGCGGGTGGATCACAAGGTCAAGAGATCAAGACCATCCAGGTCAACCTGATGAAACCCCGTCTCTACTAAATATTCAAAAAATTAGCTGGGCATAGTGGTGCGTGCCTGTAATCCCAGCTACTCAGGAGGCTGAGGCAGGAGAATTGCCTGAACCCAGGAGGCGGAGGTTGCGGTGAGCCGAGATCGCGCCATTGTACTCCAGCCTGGGTATCAAGAGTGGAACTCCGTCTCAAAAAATTAATTAATTAATTAATTAATTAAATGGCCTCAAATGTGAATTTCTGTATTAATGCCATCGGTAAAGGCATTTGTCATTTTTTGCTCATATTGGCTGTGAAAGGGAATGTCATGCATCCTGTAGCTTGGACAATGTTCATAATTTGTCTGTGCTCAGACACGGTTATGGAGTTATCTTGTTTTTGTCCTGATCAGTCATGGTCAGAGGGTGGCCTTGTCTGCTGTCAATGTTTGGTGAGATTGTTTATGTCCAAGAGGGGGACATCAAGGCCTCGTCGATAGCACTAGGCCAGCTCTTGGATATCAGGGGCTGCTTTTCTTCTTTCTCAAGTAAAGCTCACTCAAGTTGGCATAGGAGGTTTAAATGTCCAGCACCCCTTCTCCATTCTCCTCCCCTTTTCTGGATAAGTGAACCTCTCTTTCCTATGGGTAACACAGTGAAGGTGGTTTGTGTGGACTAATGCACCTCAACAACACTCATTTAGCCAGTGAAAAATCATTTATTATTAGGCTATTATAGAAATTCACCAGTGGATTGTAAACTCTTGTCTAAGATCATCCAAAAGTGAACCATCCCTGAAGCATGAGTTCTGATTAGGGCCTTCAAATGCTATCTGACCATCCCTAGGGTATAGATTGAAATTAATTAACATTTGCACACATCACATTGTTCACACAGAGAATAAAACACCAACTAATCTTAATCGTATGGAAAAAAATTAATCTGACATATTATCTAGAAAATTTTCAGGCATTCTGAGTCTTTGAACATACCACAAAGATGGGATCATTGGCGGCTGAATGTGGCAAAGCGCTTGTCCCGTTCAGGAAGGAATGAACCAAATTATGAAGGCTCATCACTTGAGAATCCAGAGTCCCATCTGCTTTATCAAACCCTTCCAAGGCATTCCTGGGAGAAACAAGTGTGTCAGTGACAACAGGCGATGACTGATAAAGGTCTTTTTTGTTGTTTTCAGTCTAGACGGTAGTTTTCTAATTTGAGGTTGGGTAAGGATATGGGAAGCTCTGTCATAGCAAATCAACCAAGAATTAGCCCCAAGTCTTTTTTTTTTTTTTTTTTTTTGAGATGGAGTTTTGCTCTTATTACCTAGGCTGGAGTGCAATGGCGCAATTTCGGCTCACCGCAACTTCCACCTCCTGGATTCAAGCAATTCTCCTGCCTCAGCCTCCTGAGTAGCTGGGATTACAGACATGCGCCACCATGCCCAGCTAATTTTTGTATTTTTAGTAGAGACAGGGTTTCACCATGTTGACCAGGATGGTCTCGATCTCTTGACCTAATGATCCACCCGCCTCATCCTCCCAAGGTGCTGGGATTATAGGCGCGAGCCACCGCACCTGGCCTCTTAATGATAATCCTCTGTAAGGGGAGAGAACACTTCATCAATGCTATTTCTGAATTATACCTCTTTTGTGTACTGTATGGCATCCTTCATACCCGTCTCTCATGCCCTTGGAGGGCAGGCTCTGTGTTTTCTTCAGATATTTATTGCCAGGGTTCAGTACCATGCCCAGCACATAGTCTGTGATCAATAATCTTTTTTAAATTTAACATATAATCTGATATTTATATTTCTCAACCAAATAGACCTTCGGCTTGACTGGAGGTCCAACTACTCAGGAGGCTGAGGTAGGAGGATCACTTGAACCCAGGAATTTGAGGTTATAGTTAGTCATGATTGCACCACTGCACTCTAGCCTGGGTGACACAGCAAGACCCCGCCTCTAAAAAAAAGAAAAAAGAAAAAATTTTCTACCACCATAAAAAGACTTTAAGAATTATGAGAAATATATGTATAAATAAGATTTTTTTTTATTTATTTATTTTTGAGACAGAGTCTTGCTCTGTCACCAGGCTGGAGTGCAGTGGCGCAATCTCAGCTCACTGCAACCTCCGCCTCCTGGGTTCAAGCAATTCTTCTGCCTCAGCCTCCCGAGTAGCTGGGACAACAGACGCATGCCACTACGCCCGGCTAATTTTTGTATTTTTAAAGCAGAGACAGGATTTCACCATATTGGCCAGGAGGTCTGGATCTCTTGACCTCATGATCCGCCCACCTCGGCCTCCCAAAGTGCTGGGATTTACAGGCGTGAGCCACCGTGCCCGGCATATAAATAAGATTTTAAACAAAGATGGGTCCAATAAAAGGGTGGTAGATAGATTAATGATCTCTAAAACTGGATTCTCTCTCTCTTTTAACTGTGTACAAAGTACACAGTTCATATGGGGCCAGGGCAAGGTAGGCTGAACTCAAATGTAGAGGTTGTGCTAAGCAAAGCATGGCTCAGAGTCTGCTGCAGTTGGATACAGCCTTCAGAGAAGGGTCAGTGGTGTGCAAAGGGTAACATTTGATGCTGTTTTGAAAAGGAGCATGCATTAGTTTTTTGTCATGACAAAAGCGCTGTTGAAATAGGTTGCATTCCCCACATGTTTGAATTAGGGGAGTTGTTCTCAAAATGCCGTGCTCAGACCACCATAACTGGCATTGTTCGGGATTTGGTTAGAAATGCAAATGGTTAAGACACAGCCTACACCTACTGAATCAGAAACTCTGGGAGCAGGGCATGAAATATGTGTTTTTCTTTAGTAAATGTCAGATGTACTTAAATTCTAGGCTGATCTCTACAGTACATACAACCACACATGGCTACTTTTTTATTTTTATTTTCTGTAGAGACAGGGTCTTGCTCTGTTTTCCAGTAGCCTCAAACTCCTGGCCTCAAGCAGTCTTCCTGCATTGGCCTCCCAAAGCTCTAGGATTACAGGAGTGAGCAGTATGCCCAACTTGTGGTGGAAGAGTAATAGTTGGTCTTTAAATGTTAAGTATTGTAATGTCATTGCTGTGCTATAATTTGAGTTGAATTTAGTCAGCAATACTCTTCTGAGATCTCAGACCCCACTATTAATGTCTGTGGCTGATAAATTTCTAATATCAACATTTTTTAAAATAAGAAATAAAAGAGAAAGAGCATGGGCATTGAAAAAACACTGTATTGGCCAGGCATGGTGGCTTATGTCATTCCAACATTTTGGGAGGCCGAGGCAAGAGGATCACAAGGTCAAGAGATCAAGACCATCCTTGTTAACATGGTGAAACCCCATCTCTACTAAAAATATAAAAATTAGCTGGGTGTGGTGGTATGTGCCTGTAGTCCCAGCCACTCAGGAGGCTGAGGCAGGAGAACCACTTGAAACAGGGAGGCAGAGGTTTTGGTGAGCTGAGATCATGCCCCTCACCTATAAATACAGAAATACAAAAGATGGTTTTGAACAACTAAGTTAGATGGTATTAAAACCACATTGTTCATCATGGTGGATGGGTAAAGACTTTCCTCACACCAACTTCTTGCTAACTTCTCTTATCAAGCCTCTCTCCATCACTTAGCGTCGTAAATAACCCCCAAAACCTTGGTTTCCTTCCAGTTCATTATAACCACAGGCATGAAAACCTGTACTGCAAATGCAGGTCCAGCAGAGCTCAGAGCACCCACCTGAAGCTGAAGGTAGAGTTCTGGAAGAAGGGAGGATTGTCAAACTTCTGGAGAGACAGGCAATCTTGTATGTCTTTTAAGGTTGGCAATTTCTCACCATTTCTTCTCATTTGATTTCTTCTCAGCAAACCTTCATAGGTTCCATTGCACAAGGTGACTCGGTGGTTGTAGTCATCCAAGCTAAGATTTGTAATAAGATTTAAAATAATATGTCTTGGCTGGGCACGGTGACTCACGCCTGTAATCCCAGCACTCTGGGAGGCCAAGGCAGGTGGATCCCTTAAGGCCAAAAGTTCAAGACCAGCTTGGCCAATACAGCAAAACCTCGTCTCTACTAAAAATACAAAAATCAGCTGGGCATGATGGCAGGTGCCTGTAGTCCCAGCTACTCGGGAGGCTGAGGCAGAAGAATCACTTGAACCCAGGATGCAGAGGCTACAGTGAATGGAGATCACACCTCTGCACTCCAGCCTTGGTGACAGAGTGAGACCCGGTCTCAAGAAAAAAAAATAAATAATAATGTCTTAACTCACGGATGGTATTATAAATTTGGGCCAAGCAAACCAATCAGGGTCACAATCATGATCAAATTTGATTATAAGTACTTTACCAGAGTGAATAGTATCTGGTGAAAGTACTATGCCTGAAAGTCATTATGGGTTGAGAAGTTTCAAAAATGTAAATGCACAAAATATAGACATGGGCGTAAATATGAATAATCATTACCATTCTATCGGAAAGACAGTGAGAGGGTTTATAAGACAAGATGACTCCTATTGCGTGCATTTGAAACTTGGGTAATTGAAGGGAGAATGGGGGGTTCATATCATGCTGAGCTAAGCCAGTTTTGACAGAAGCAATATATAAAGTTATGAAAGCATTTTGGGCAAACAGGGGAGGTCCGATTCAAAGCAGATGAAACTACACAAAGGGGAGATATTAGGAGAAACGCTGTGTTGGAAAACGTTCCAAGGTATTAGAGTATCAATAGTTACGTGCTCAGCGTGGAACTGAGAAGGTCCCATGTCCGTAAAACATTATGTCCTACATGCCAGCTGTGGTCTGGATTCCACCATCAGAATAGTATTTCTTTTTTTTTTTTTTAGAGACAGAATCTCACTCTGCCACCCAGGCTGGAGTGCAATGACATGATCTTGTCTCACTGTGGCCTCCCCTTCCCGGGTTCTGGCAATTCTCCTGCCTTAGTCTCCTGAGTAGTTGACTACAGGTGCATGCCACCACACCTTGCTAATTTTTTGTATTTTAGTAGAGACGGGGTTTCACCATGTTGCTCAGGCTGGTCTCAAACTCCTGAGCTCAAGCAATCCACCCACCTCAGTCTCCCAAAGTACTAGGATTACAGGTATGAGCCTCCATGCCCTGCCCAGAATAGTATTTCTTTTTTTTTATTTGTTTTTCCTTTTTTTATTTAGAGATAGGGTCTTACTCTGTTTTACCGGCTAGAGTACAGTGGCACAATCACAGTTGACTGCAGCCTTGAACTCCTGGGCTTAAGCAATCCTCTTGCCTCAGCCTCCCCAGTGGCTGGGACTACAGGTTGGCATCACCACAACTGGCTAACTTTTTTTTTTTTTTGAGGCCGAGTCTCGCTCTGTAGCCCAGGCAGGAGTGCAATGGCACACTGCAAGCTCCACCTCCCCAGTTCAAGCAATTCTCCTGTCTCAGCCTCCCAAGTAGTTGGGACTATAGCCACATGCCACCACGACCAGCTAATTTTTGTATTTTTAGTAGAGACAAGGTTTCACCATGTTGGTCAGGCTGGTCTTGAACTCCTGACCTCAGGTGATCCACTCACCTCGGCTTCCCAAAGTGGTGGGATTACAGGTGTGAGCTACCGTGCCCAGCTGGGCTAACTTTTTTAACTTTATGTAGAGACAGGGTTTCACTACATTGCCCAGGCTGGTCTGGAAGTCCTGGCCTCAAGTGATCCTCCTGCCTCAGTCTCCCAAAATGCAGACCATTATTTCAACAGTAGAGATAAAAATGTAAAGATGTTATTGTGAGGGTTTTAATGAATTAGTGGTAGCACTTAGTATGTGAGAATAGAATCAGCACATCCACAGGGATGAAAGAGGCCAGGACCTAAACACTAAGCAAAGAAAGGTCTCCAAGGCCTCCCAGTCAGCATTTCCCAAAGCAAATTCCAAAGGGATGTTCAATGAAGTAAGAGTTCCAGAGTCAGGTAAGTTTAGGCTCCTCTTGAAAAAGAATAACACATTTATCTATGGAAGGCTTGAAGACATTCTAAAAATTAAAAAAAAAATTTTAACTCAGTCTTCTCTAAATTTACTTGATGACAGAAAAATTTACTTGATGCGTGTCTTTTTACATACATCCACTAATATCCCAAGGTACCATGGGAAATGGTGCTTGATGGGATGAAGCTCGGTCACAGAAAATGTGCTAATGATGTCCCTACTCGTGGAGCACTGTTCTGAGCACTGCAGGAAATGCACAGGATGCAGAAGACGAAGTTCCTGCTAGCTGGGCATGGGCCCCTCAAAATGCACACCTGCCCAGGCTCAGGATGGCAGCAGTGAAGCCTGGGGACCGAGGGAGCCAGAGCTCTGTGCCTTGGAGCATTCTAAGGACCTGGGAGGCAAGGCCGAGCAGTGGGGTTAAAAACATGGGGATTTTGGAGGAAGAAAAATGAATAAAGGAAGGTGAAGAACCTCTTGGGAAATCTTTTATCGAAATGTGTTCTGGGAAAGAGAAACAAATTCAAGGAGTCTTTGAGGACAGAACTCTTCATGGGCTGCAGGCCAGGCCACCGACGTGTGTATGTAGTCTTTAGCATGTGAGACACCATCCTTCCCTGGCTGGCCCCAAGCCCCTGTCCTCCTCAACCCACCAGCATCCTGTGGCCCAGACATACCAGGCTGTTTCCAGAGAATTATCCAGCTTCACACATGATGTTCCCTCCACCAAGGACTCACCTACTGCCCTGCCACACTCCCCTCACCCTCCTCTACACCTGACTACGGTCTGTGCCCCTTCCCTTCTCAGAACCATCATCTCCACCTCTGGGGGACTTGCCTGGACTCTCTTCCTGTCTTTGTGTATACACCTGTTACAGTACTTCTCACACTTAATTATAATTTACTTACAAGAAATCTATCTTTGTTAACTAATACGAGACAATATCCAAAAGGGAGGTTTTATTTCATTAATCTTCGTATTCCCAGCAGTACCACATCATGTAGGATATGATTGGTGCTTAGAAAATGTTGACTGAATGCAAGAACTACTCTTAATTTGATTAGGCTAGTGCAAAAGTAATTTCAGTTTTTGCTACTAATTTTAATGGCAAAACCCGCAATGACATTCGCACTAATCTGATAAAACTAACCTGATCTCAACATGATGGCCAAGCATAATCAATTCACAAATGTGATTTTTATATATTTTTTAAAATAGTTTAGAATTTTTGAAGTCCCACCTCCCACAGGAAAACTGCTTCCAGAAACATGTAAATAGAACTCCACATGCATAAGAAGCAGAAGTATAAAGTGACTTCACCTCTCAGACATCAGAAAAGACTGTCTCTGGATATCATTGCAGGTACAGGAGCCATTACCTATCACAGACCGTTTCCCAGCTGGAGAATCTTGAGTTCTGACTAATCAGAGTCGGATCATCTGGTCTTGCTGCCCCAAACAGCTGGTCTGTACACACATCACACTCGTTCCTCCCGGTGGCGAAGTTCCAGTAGGGCAAAGCAAAAGACTCATTGCCAATGAGTCGCTAAAAACAAAGGGCAGGCCTAGTCATTTAATCCATGCCATCAGATACAACAAGAATGTATACAAGGCAAAGACCGATATGTGTCTTCACCAAATGTCTACCAAGATTAGGAGTACCAGATGGATAAATGAATGAAGAAATTGTGACATAAATCAGCATGTGTATATAATATCTACACACATATATATGTATACTGTATACAATGGAATATTATTCAGCCTTTAAAAAGGAGATGATGCCATTTGTAACAACATGGGTGAATCTAGAAGATAGTATACCATGTGAAACAAGCCAGACACAGAAAGAAGAACACTGCATGATCTCACTTATTTGTTGAATCTGAAGAAAAGAAGAAAAAATAAAAAGAAACAATGAATACATAGAAAGGCAGTTACACAGCAATTACAAAGGGCTGGGAGAAATGGGAAGATACAGGCTGAAAGGTGCAAAGTTGCAGTTGTGTAGGATAAATAAGTCTAGAGGTCTGACACTAGAGTTAAGGTTGTATCGTGTATTGGTAATTTTCCAGGAGAGGAGACTTTAGGTACTCTGACCACACACACACAAAGCTATCTCTATGTGATGATGGGTATGTTAAGTTGCTTTAGTGCAGTAACCACTTCACTTATCTTGTATGTATGTCAAGATAAGTATATCAAAACTCATCTTGTATGCCTTAAATATATACAATACATTTTTTTAAAAATGAAAAGTACTAAATGCATAGTTTTGACTTACCTGGAGATCTCTTTCCAGACACAACAAATGGTACCGGTGCCAGGTAACAAAAGCAGGTCCTTGATGTGAGAAATCTATGGCCTTGTAGGGGCGCCCTGGTCCTGAAATAATTGGGAAACATATTAGAGATGACAGAATAGAATTTTTAAAATGTTAAATGTTACCTGGGCTGTATCTATAGAGTCCATGATGTTTTATAATAGTAAGAAAAAATGTTTGTTGTTATTTATCTCTCTAAAAGCAACAGTAATGACAGGAATGACAAAGGAATTTCAAAGTAATAGTACTTTTAGGATAAACCCTGCTTTATCTCTCAAAAGATTGATTTCTAGCAGAGATCTGGGAAATTCAGGTGACTTTCAGAGTTGGGAGCCCCTAATACATGTTTAATTGTAAGCAACAATCCATTCAGGTGAAATAGACTATCCAAAAGTTCGTGTCCTTTGTAGGGACTTGGATGAATATGGAAACCATCATTCTCAGCAAACTGACACAAGAACAGAAAGCCAAACACCATATGTTCTCACTCACAGGTGGGTGTTGAACAATGAGAGCACACGGACTCAGGGAGAGGAGCTCACACACTGGGGGCAGTTGAGGGGGGGATAGGGGAGAGACAATGGGGGGGTGGGGAGGGAGGAGAGGGTGGGGAGGGATAACATGGGGAGAAATGCCAGATATAGTATGCATCTAAAGTAAAATAAATACATTTTTTTTAAATAAATAAAAAATTTTTAAAAAGATTATTAAGACCTAAATGAAATGTATTTTTAAAAAGCAATTGCTAACCTATGCTTCACGAATGTATAAATTTAAAAGAGAGGGATTAGTTAATAATATCATAACTGTAACTGCACTTAGTCCTAATGCAGTATTTATGTAACCAAAAAGAACTTTCATGTAGTTTGCCTCGCCCATCAGTCTGTTGTATCTACCAGCTGACAAGCATTGTCACTGAGACTAGAAGAGAGAAAACTCCATTCAAGCCATGTAGGCTGGCCACTGGAACTGCCAATTTCAGTGAAAAGCTCTGGACGATTTAATGACCTCCTTGCTGCCTGGTCCATCCTTCTTCCCTTTTTCATAACAGCTTTGATGGTTACGTAGAAACTTTAGCTAACTTTAGTTCTGGTTGAAAATACCTACAATAACTTCAGAGAGCTGAACAGACATGAATATAAATTCAATTCCTAGCTATGACCAGAAACTATCATTTTTTTTCCTCTTGAGAGGCTACTCTCTCATAAAGCAAAAATTCCTCAGAGTGATGACAGGAAAACTATAAAGGTTGATAGCCAAAAGAGCCTCCTCATCTATCGATAAAGAAAGACAGATGCTTACCTGAAGGCAAGTTTTAAAAGACTCACACTGAGAAAAGAACTGCTGTCGCTGATGCTGGCCACACAGCCCTTTTTCACGTTTAATCCAGAACAAGGTTTCAAGTTCTGAGAACCCGACAACGAGACGGCATCAAGTGAAGGGGGACATGGATGAGCACAAGGACGAGTGCGTCCAAACCAGAATCTCGCTCTTCAAAGTGAGCTTGATGTCTTCATTCATCCTGACCCCAGTGAGGGACCTCAAAAATGGGGACAGGTGCACATACAGCCAGGCATTCAATGACTGCTATGAGAAGAATCTAGGATGGATTCAAGCCCCCCTGGAATACATTGCTGTCATGGCTTTCTTTTGACTGAAAAATAACTAAGGACAAAGCTGAACCTACTTGATCCATGATGTTTTTTGTTTGTTTGTTTCTTTGTTTGTTTTTGAGATGGACTTTTGCTCTTGTTGCCAGGCTAGAGAAAATGGCGTGATCTCGGCTGACTGCAACCTCCGCCTCCCAGGTTCAAGCGATTCTCCTGCCTCAGCCTCCCAAGTAGCTGGGATTATAGGTGCCTGCCATCACACCCAGATAATTTTTTGTATTTTTAGTAGAGATGGGGTTTCGCCATATTGGTCAGGCTGGTCTTGAACTCCTGACCTCCGGTGATCCACCTGCCTCAGCCTCCTAAAGTGCTGGGATTACAGGCATGAGCCACTGCACCTGGAGGATCCATGAAGTTTGTAACAGACACCCCCCTCATACCAAGTCCTACCCAGGCCCCAGTGTTTAAGACGTGGAGGGGCAGGTCACCATTTTCCCAAGCATCCAACATGACTGTGTTGCAAAGAGCTAAGCAGCAGAAACTCTACATGGCTGTGGCTAAGCTTGTACTTTTCCTTGACAATACAACTCCAAAAACTTTGGGGGTTCCGGGCCATAGAGGAGTACCATAAATGATCTGAAAAATATCATGTGATAGACTGTCTAAAATCTATCCAAAGTTTATCTACCATGTGAGTTTAACAAGATACTTACTTCCAACATGAGCACTCTAATTCTACACAAAGAAGCTTCATGTGCCTTGGCACATGCTCAGTTAATTCCTCTAATTTGGAGAAAAGGTCAGAGAGGGCTTCCAAGGCCAGATTTGCAAATATTTTCTTCTAAAATCAAAAGGAATTTGCCTCCATCTCACCGACTCACACCTTTGATGATTAACAGCTTTATAGAGCACAGTTTACACTTTGAACCAAGAACCTACAGTAGAGGAGAGAACATTTAAAGTGTTTGCAGCCAATGTGCAGAAAGAAAGTGCTTCTTTCTAACTCCAGGCAGTATTTGATAATTCTACGACTTTCATAAACCTAAGGCTGCCTTGAGGTTCTCTCTTGTTAATTAACTTGCATGAAATTACTTCCCACTGCCATACCTTCAACCCAATCACAAACCTGTAATAATGTACCTTCAGCCAGGGAGAAAACCCACCTAATAATGTATCTCTAACAGAATAATAATGGAGCCACACGAAAAAGTCATAAACACTGCAGTTGGCAAACTGCGGCTGGGTCCCATTGGGCCCGAGCAGGCCCAGCCAGTGCTGTGTGGTGATCACATAGTCGGGGTGTATGCTCTTCTTTGCGAGATCTAGGGCGCCCAAGAACTGCTCTCTCTCCTGAGGAGTCAGGGAATGGATGTCCTGCCGAATCACTGCTGGTTTCTTCTGATCGCAGCTGGGGCCGGTCCAGCCAAACTTGCAGTCTCCACAATTATAGCCGGCAAAGTTTCCTAGTTTACAAAACAGAAAGATGGAAAGGAAGTGGGTTTATGTGGTTTGGAAGAAATTTCTCAATTTGCACTCTGAAATTTAAATGGAAGGGAAGATGAAGGTGCTTATGTGAAGGCAAAGAACGTCAATTTTCCTCCCATGGTCTCCTCTTAAATGTTTTTATATTCAAGTAGACTAAGCACTAGAGAGTTTCCTAGAAACATTCCCAGCAAAGAAACAGGACATGAAATGTGTTGCCTACTGCAATGAGCTAAGCTGCATCCCCCCAAGTCCTAACCCCCAGTATATCTCCTATGTGACTATATTTGGAGATAGTGTCTTAAAGAGGTGATTAAGGGTAAATGAGGTCATGAGAGTGGGCCCTAATCCAGTATGTCTGGTGTCCTCAAAAGAAGAGGCATTTGGACACAGTTTTAGAAGGATGACCACATGAAGACACTGGGAGAACACAGCCATCTGCAAGCCAAGGAGAGGGGCCTCAGAGGAAACAGCTCCCTGATCTCAGCCATCTAGCCTCCGGAATTGTGGGAGGGTGAATTTCAGTGTTTAAGCTGCCCAGTCTGTAGGACTTTGCTATGGCAGCCCCAGCAGACTCGTGCACACACTCCTTCCTCCCAGGATCGCAGAGGTGTCTGCTCCTGCGCCTGCTCCACACCCGTACAAAGGGATGACATAGAACAGTCCATTGATTTAGAGAAGGAAGAAAAAACACAGCAAGCTAAAGATGGAACCAAAACGAATACATGGCCGGGTGTGGTGGCTCACGTCTGTAATCCCAGCACTTTGGGAGGCAAAGGCGAGCAGATCACATGAGGTCAGGAATTCGAGACCAGCCTGGCCAACATGGTGAAACCCCATCTCTACTAAAAACACAAAAAATTAGCCGGGTGTGGTGGTGCATGCCTGTAGTCCCAGCTACTCCAGAGGCTGAGGCAGGAGAATGGCCTGAACCTGGGAGGTGGAGGTTGCAGCGAGATCACACCATTGCACTCCAGCCTAGGCGACACAGCAAGACTCTGCCTCAAAAAAATAAAATAATAAACAAATACATAAATTAGCTGATTTCCAGGAATTTAGGTGAAATCTCACATTTAAAAAGTTGACTTATTTCACCAAGTTGACAGCAGTAAGACAAAATCAATGGAGGCTGGCAAGTCATACGGGTGAATCAGCCGCTGTGGTACCAGGAAGTGCCAAATACCGCAGGATTTCCTGTCAGCTGCACAAAGCTCTCTGCTTTCTCAAAGCCCAGGGAAGGAGGACAGGACTGATCCTATCTAGCTCTGGGCATCTCTCTGATCAGCATCTCAAGTTTAAATGCTTTTAGCTTGCCCCAGACTTTTCCCTTCTTCACCTTGTAACGTACTGCTTTTGGGTATGACTCGCACTTTATTCCTTAGGTTAAAGGTAAAATTGAAATATCATTAGAGCAAGAGGTTGAAACAAAAGGGAATAATAAGGCTTAGCTCCCGGAAAATTAAAGGGATTATTATGTAAAGCATTTAAAGAGGGTGACCAGCTCACTCACTCTTCCTCCGCCTCCTCCTCCTCTACCTCATGCCCTAGGCCTGTTTGCTTGCTCTTCCTTATTCCTGGAACACTTTCCCTCACTGTCTCCCTAAATTTCTCTTCATCAGCTTCTCCTTTAAGCGTCACATTGGTCCTCTCTAAGGTCATTCTTGATTCCACAGGTCGGGGTCCGGGTCACTTACTTCCTTACACTTCATACATCCCCTTTCTTCATATTTATTTACACTGACTGTAAACATCTCTACACGTGTTTCAGCTCCAGGCAGCTGGAAGGCTCTGAACTCATTAACTAGGCCTCTGCTGAGCCTTGCTCAAAACAAGCGTGTGTTGAGTGAATAACAGAAGTATCGAGCACGTAGCGGATGATGCCACCTACATTTTCTCTCCCTGTTCTGTGGATTCGCAGACAAAGCAGCCTCTATTAACAATTTTGATAAACTACAAGTTCCAAAATAGAGGTAAGTAAAAAGTTCTGTGACCATAGAGGAGGGAGGGTTACTCGGATGTCTCAAGGAAGGGAAAATTTTCCAACAGCATGAAAACAAAACGATTAACAGCACTCTGTAAGAAAAATGCACAGGCTTCCTTTTCCATAGCGGATTTTTTGATGGTTAAAGAAAATTTTCTTAAAATGTAAGTAGGAAGAATTTTCTTTAACTGTAATTTGTTATTTGGGTTTTTTTTTTGTTCGTTTTTTGTAATGTAACATATAGCCCTCCTGCTTTTACATAACTCAATTATCTGCATTTTTCTGTTTCAGCACTGTATGAGAGCATAAGTAAAAATATTGAAGAAAGGGAAAAAATTCTACTCTTCCCCAGACCAAAAGTCATGTTTTTGAATAGTTTAAGTTAAACATTAAAATATATGTGGATTCCTGGAGATAAATGATTAAATACAAATTATTTATTTAACAAATATTTATAAAGCGGCTACTATCCCATCAGATACTGTGCAAGATGCTTCAAGTTTTATGGACCTTGAAGTCTATTTTCCCGGGCAACTTTCAAAAACAGATTTGATTGAAACATATCAACTATGGCAGCTTTTAAAGGAATGGAACATTTTTTTGAGAACTGAGTGAACAAACTATGTCTCAAGAAGAGTAACTCAGAAATGTCTAACTCATTTATGACTCAGTTAAATTTAACTGATTAAAACTCAGTTAAATTTCCAACTACTGATAGACGATTGGAGGTAAATGTCTAGTCACCTCTCCACAGTAGAAGAGTGATTCCTTGTTTCAAAATGCTGAGAAATGTGGGCAATGATAATATAATAATCGGTTCATTGATTTTAACCCTGGTTTCAGATGTTGCTGGTGGAAGACTGCAGAGAGTGGGGGAAAGGGTAGATGGAAATTTTTTGTACTTTCTTCCCAATTTTGATATGAACCCAAAACTGATCTGAAATAACAAAGTCTCAATGTTTAAAAATATTAATCAATAACACCCCTAAATATTATAATAATTAATTTAATACATTTCTACATTTAAAGGCATAACACGTGTTTTTGAATGTGGGGGTCTGATTGTTGAAATTGAGTGATTCATAGCTCATGCCATGAATCTGAAGACTACTCTATTTTCTTTGCCATGATTCTTTGTAGTTGGCAGAAACAAAATGATTAATTGACTCTCTCCTGTATTTCTTTAACAAAGAATTTATTGAATACCTACTATCTAAAAGGTAGCCAACACTAAACATGCCCAGATAGTGAGGGAGGTGTGAGTGTGTGAGGGCAGGGGAGGGTTAAATTTCTGTATTTTGGACTCACTTTTGCTGTGACCCTAAAACTGCTCTAGTAACTAAGTCTATTTAAAAATACAACAATTTGGCTAGATGTGGTGGCTCACGCCTGTAATCCCAGCACTCTGGGAAGCTGAAGCAGGTGGATCACAAGGTCAAGAGATGGAGACCATCCTGACCAACATGGTGAAATCCCATCTCTACTAAAATACAAAAATTAGCTGGGTGTGGTGGCACACACCTGTAGTCCAGGTACTCGGGAGGCTGAGGCAGGAGAATTTCTTGAACCCTGGAAGCAGAGGTTGCAGTGAGCCGAGATTGCACCACTGCACTCCAGCCTGGCACCTGGTGACAGAGCAAGACTCTGTCTCAAAAAATAAAAATAAAAATACAACAATGCAACACATCTTCCTTTATGCTACCATAGCTTTTATATTATGAAAAACAAGCACATTCAAGTGGAGAACTTAGAACCACATCCGGTATATAATGAGTTTTATATTAAGTGTTATTATTACTAGTATTACTAAAGACCACTTATCAAATAGTATAGCAATCGCTTGTCTTTGTATCTGTCATACATTTCACTATACTGTGCACTCCTTAAGAATCACATCAGTATTTTCCCCCCTCTCTGTATCTGAAGGGCCTAATTGGTGCTAAATAAATGCTGGGTGGGTGGGTGGTGAAAGAATCAATGAATAATTGAATAAAAGGGATAAGACACTAGTGGATACAGATACAGATGGCCTCTGACTTATGATGGTTCAACTTAAAATTTTTCAACTTTAGAATAATGCATAATCAATATGCATTCAGTAGAAATTCTACTTTGAATACCCATGTAACCATTTTGGTTTCCAACTTCAGTACAGTATTTAATAAATTACATGAGATATTCAACACCTTATTATAATATAGGCCTTATTATAGTATAATATGTGTGAGATGCTTTTTCCCATCTGTAGGCTAATGCTAGTGTTCTGAGCACATTTTAGGTAGGTTATGCAAGCTATGATGTTTATAGGTTAGGTGTATTAAATGCATTTTTGACTTATGGTATTTTCAACTTATGATGGGTTATTGGGACGTAACCCCATCTTAAGTCAGGGTGCACCTGTATAAATAAGGCATAAAACCTTAGTCTAGTGGAAATGAAGGACACGTACACAGTGACATTTCAACACAAGTCAAACTGTGGGAAAAGTGAAAACAGAGGAATAAACCAAGTTCCATGGGACGACAAGTGACAAAATGATTAATCCTGACTCAGAAAATCACAGATACTTCACAACTATAGTGAACAAGAAAATTTCATGTAACCAGAGTTGCCTCCAAAAGGCAATGTATAAGTTCTAATAAGAAAGCTTTCAACACCTGTGAAAAGAATGGGAGGGGGGAAAAAAGAAAGCTCGTGTCTGGTTTGGAGCTCATTTATGACTCAGAAATTTATTCAGTTAAAAAATTCCTTTTCCAACATGTTTCAGAGAAAATATTCCAAATCTCTGAAGTTAGGTCCCTTTCATTTCTAAGCTTACAAACCTGACCTAAAGAATTAGTTGAAATGCCGAAGATGACTGAAAAGTATAACAACATGAAAGCCCAGTAGGCAAAATGTTTATTCCTTTAATTTAGATATCCTAGTAGCATCTTAGCTCAATTTAATATGAGTTCATTTTTTTCTTCTTAATCTACCAATGCAAAAAATACAAGAGGAGCATTTTAGAAAGAACTGTGTTATCTTACTGGGAAATGGAGAGAGAGGAAAAAAATGATCCCTAGATCATATCAATCTATCGACCACAGAGTATGTCCTTGAGTAAAAATTAAATTTAAAGAGTCAAAGTCTTAAGCTGACAAACGATTAGGATAAAATGGAAAAAGAGTGAGAACATCTAAACGCCACACATTCCTACATGAACTGCATTAGCTCAACCTCAGAAAGCCATTAGACTAAATACGCCTAAAGACCACCGATTAGTGAATTTACAAGGAACTCTAAATAGCCTACACCTTTTAATCAGAGATTCTATTATTTTAATAACAATACTTTATACTGACATAGGTCCTTTCATCTACAGTACTCAAAAGGATTTTACAAGTGGTTTCATCATTATCCCCATTTCAGAGATTGGAAAATGGAGGCACTTAGTCACTTGTACAAACAAGAAGTTCACCGTCAACTGTTCAAAAACTATTTGGTGCATACATTTTTCAAAAGTCAAAAGACACATCTGGAAATGACATTTTCTTGTAAAGCCAACTGGCAGGTAAGCCTTATAAGGTAAAGAGCAAATTCAAAGTCTCCTGAAATTCAGCTCTTCCTGACAGTTAAGCTCAGTAGCTTTTTTGTTTCAATTTATCTCTACAGAGGCAATAGAGAAGCTCTCTAAAGAGAATTTCACCATAGAATTTAGGGTTTTAAAAAACAAATCCCAGGGTTTGTATGTGTTTCTAATTTTTAGGCTGAAATGACTTTGCCAGCTTTATGATTATGGAAACTAGGAAGTGTTTATTTTCCAAAGAATCAACAACATTCACGGTCATCCATAGTCTGTTACAAGAAACTTACCTACATCTCCTCCCTAAGAAATTCTGGATCACCCCAGGAATGCCCCAGGGACTCTTGCAAAAGAGTCATCAGGCTATTGTAGAGATTTTTTTGGAGGCTCAGGATCAGGTTTAAATTCCAAAGATTGTCCCGCAAATCATGACAAAGCTAATCATGTCACAGAATGGTAATCATGATGTACACAAATTAACTTCCCAGCTCAGTCACCTAAGAACTTAGTCTCGTGTCCTGAGATTCAAAGAAAAAGACCATCTGGCAACATAAGTTGAGCCATCCAAAGTTGGTATGATAATACAATGGAATATTATTCAGCCTTTAAAAAGAAAAAAATTCTACAATTTGCGACAACATGGATGGACCTGGAAGACGTTGTGCTAAGTGAAGTAAGTCAGTCTCAGAAGGACGAACTCTGCATGAGTCTTGTTATATGAGACATCTAAAGTAGCTGAACATATAGAAGTACACAACAGAATTGTGGTTACCAGGGCATGGGGAAGGGGCTGCGGGGAGATGTTGGAAAGTTATAATGATACAAGATGAGCAAGTTTCAGAGATCAGCTGTACCATACAGCGCCTATAGTTAACAACAAAACATTCAGCACTTAAAAACGTGTTAAGAGGACGGATCTCATGTTAACTGTTCTTACCACAAAAAAAATAAATAAATAAACAAAAACCAAGAGCCACAAGGAACCTTTGGAGATGATGGATATGTTTATTATCTTGATTGTGGAGAGGGTAACAGAACCAAATCAGGCACATTAATTGTGTGCAACGTTCTATGTAACAATTACGCCTCAATAAAACTGGAAAACATTAAACGTCTAGTAAATTGAATTTATAGATGCAGTAAATCTTAAGTTACCTTTAAAAAACGTAGATGTGGAAAGAATTACGTTCCTGATGCGTCTGGACTGAGCAGATCACGGCGGGAAGGAAGCCACAGCTTGCAGGCGGGGTCTCAGGGCCAGGCCCAGCCTTGACAATGACAGGAGAGGAAAACCATCTCCCTGGAGGAAGCCCTACTTCTTTGACCTGGCTTATAGACATGGGACTTCCTTACAACCTGGACTTAAAGGACAGGCCCTATTTCTGGCCCAACGCCCTTTTAGAGCAGGGGATCCTTTTTTGTCCATTTTGAAAGTAGGTCTACATGATCCTAAGTTCCTGTTACTTCCGGAGCAACATTTATAAACACTTCCTCAGCAAAGGGAAACAGCGATGATCCCTCCTATTCTATCATCCTCTATTCTTTCTATCCCTACCAAACAAACAAACTCGCTAGTCAGGTAAAAAATATAAAGAAGCTGGTAACAAAAAGAGTCAACAGTTATATCTGACTTCCGAAAGTCCTCTGCCTCAGGATTCTATCCAATGCAAATTTCCAGCTTTTCAAAACTTTTGGCACTTTCTTTTTTTCTTTTTTGGGATGAGGTTTCACCCTCATCACCCAGGCTGGAGTGCAGCGGGGGGATCTTGGTTCACTGCAAGCTCTGCCTCCCGGGTTCAAGCGATTCTCCTGCCTTAGCCTCTGGAGTAGCTGGGACTACAGGTGTCCACCACCGTGTTTTTTTTTTTTTTTTTGAGGCACAGTCTCACTCTGTTGCCCAGGCTGGAGTGCATGGCACAATTTTGGCTCACTGTAACCTCTGCCTCCTAGGTTTGAGTGATTCTGCTGCCTTAGCCTCCTCAATAGCTGGGATTACAAGTGCCCACCACCACGCCAGGCTAATTTTTGCATTTTTAGCAGAGATGGGGTTTCACCATGTTACTCAGGCTGGTCTCAAACTCCTGTCCTTCAGTGATTCACCCATCTTGACCTCCCAAAGTGCTGGGATTACAGGTGTGAGCCACCATGCTGGGCCAGCACTTTTTCATTGATTGACATAGAAATAATTGTTCTGGAAGTATTTTGGAGTTTTGAACAAAGAAGTTACTGTGTTAGTGTGATTGAAAACCACAACATGCTCCTCATTCATCTGAAAAACCATCAAAGTTTATGAGACAAAGTCTATGGAAGCAAATGCTTAAATAGCTTAGAAAAACTGCATAATATATATGCAACATGTTAGTGAAATTTGTGTCACGATTAATACCCAGGGCAAAACTAGGACCTAGGTAGTCTTCTAAATGACAGAATTTAATATATTACTACAAAATGATTATAAGGCCAGAATTTTTTTTTTTTTAGATGGATCTTACTCGGTTGCCCAGGCTGGAGTGCAGTGGCGCAATTACAGCTCACTGCAACCTCTGCCTTCTGGGTTCAAGAGATTCTCCTGCCTCAGCCTCCAGAGTAGTGGGATTACAGACACCCACCACCAGTCTGGCTAATTTTTGTATTTTTAGTAGAGATGAGGTTTTACCATGTTGGCTGGTGTTGAACTCCTGACCTCAGGTGATCTACCCACCTCTGCCTCCCAAAGTGCTGGGATTACAGGCATGAGCCACTGTGCCCAGCCTAAAGCCAGAAATTTTAATGTGAAAAGATAAATCTACTGTCTGGGTACTTATGGACATAAAGCCGGCAACAGTAGCCATAGGCACTAGGGGCTGCTAGAGAGGGGAGGGAGGGAGGGAGAAAGGGTGCAAAGGTTGAAAAACTACCTACGGGGTGCTACACACACCCCCTGGTGACAGGATCAATCATACCTCAAACCCCCACACTGTGCAACATATTTATATAACAAACCTGCACATGTACTCCCTGGACCTAAAACAAAGTTGAAATTTAAAATCCAAACTAACACTGTCATTCCTTCACCAACACTGCAGGCCTGTGTATGTTCCCTTAGCAGTACCTCTTCAACCCCTTACGAAGCTCAATGACCTATATTCTCCTATGTTCCAGCATCCTGCAAGAACAGAAGTTAAAAAGAATTTTTAAAAGGAAAAAGTCATCTGCAGCCACCCAGCCTAGAACAGTGTCCAGCGTCCAAGGGCTTTGCTGAGGTGGCCACTTGTGTTTTTTGTATTTCAGTGGCCTTGCCAGGCTTTGAACATTTATCCCCGTGGGGCATGGCTGTTGGAAACCAGAGGCAGAAACGATTGAAGAGGATTTGAAAAAGCCCTGAAGAGCCAGAGGAATGAGATGTGCAAGCAACAGGTAATGAGAGAAACCAGGATCTAAAAGGACACTGAACACATTTTGTGATGTCCAGTTCAAGTCCAGAGAAGAGTGACGAAAAGCCTCCATTACCTAAGAACAACCCTCCCTGCCCTAGCTCCCTGAGAAAGCTCCTTCCTGCCATGTCTCAACAATTTTGGCAAAGTTACAACCCAGTCATAAGCTTTAACGAGAAAGATGCACCCTGCTTGAGATCCGTTCAAATCATGAGAACTGCTGAGACCAGAACACCTGCCTTTGACTCCTGTCTTCTAAATACCAAGCCTCACCTACCCCTTTTCAACAAGTGCAAACCCATTTCAGGAGAGGGCACCGAATCCCTCTTGAAAGGACTTGCTCCTAGTTTCAAAGCTGACGCATTTAAGCTCTTAAATTCCCCTTCCAACAAACAAGCCGATAGCATGTTGGCATGCATTCATATAACCAGGCTTGGCCCACGTCATATTTATTTAGTTTGTATAACCAGATGTGCTAGAGGGTGTGAAGAATAAACAGGCATGAGCCTTATTGAATACGCTTCCCATCAAAACCATCGCTGGATTGTCTTTCAAAGCCTAATCTAAGAGTCTCTGCCAAGAGTCTCATCTCTTCCTTAGAAGAAGCTCTTTTCCCAGCTCGGGCATTCCCCACCAAGCTTGGAGCATGGGCCTCACCTGTGCACTTGCAGGTCCGGTGGAAGAATTTTCTTGGCCACTGCTCCCGGTCATCCCGGTTTCGTAGAATGTAGGGACCACTCCAGGGCCGTGTGTCAGCTTGCACCTCTGCGCACTGCCCCCGGCCTTGCTGAGAGCCACAGACATTAGCCGACTCTGCACCCAGGGGTGGGCAGCATTCCTTGTTCACCAGGCTGTCCACTGTCATGCAGACTCGGGGGAACTGAGCCCAGGCTCCTGGCAGGTTTTCGCAGCCCAAGCAACTGAGCAGAAGCCCCCACCAAAGAGGGCTCATGGCTTTATAATTGGGAGAGCTCTATCCCACTTTTCGCCTTATCTTCTACTCTTTCAGTCTTTTTGTTCGGTATGTTTTCTTTTTCTTTGTATTCTATTTCTCTCCTCTTAAAAAAAAAACCACAATAATCACAGAAGGTACATGTGTGCACATGTGTACATGAACATGCACACACTATTTTATGTGATTCAAACAACTAACAGATTTAATTTCCTCAGAAGCTCCTTTAACAACCAAATTTAATGAGGGTAGCGCTTCTCACCATCTTCCCCCGTTAAATCAGGCTTTGTCTAATTGAGTTAATTTACAGAGCACCCAGTCATACTACTTATTATGCTGGTATTTCTAAACCCTCTTCTTCTCTCCTTAGCTCTTGACTTTAATTGCCTTGAACTCAGTTCAAAAGCCAAACACCATGCTGCCTTTATTCTCTCTCGCTTGTCAAGCCACGGGGCCGTGTGGGTTTGTGTAAGGGCTGGGAGAAGCCTTCATTAGGGGGATTAGTATTAGAGAAACCCTCATCATTAGCACATGACCCAAAGTGCACAATAAAGGAGATCAAATTTCTGGCTTTGTTTCAGGAGGGCAAAACCATCTTCTTTATCTGGGCTCATGTGCTCCAGCCAAGCTTGTGACTTCAGACATCCTGGGGAGTCAATAGATGCAGTGAGCTCTTCGTCAAAGACCCTGTACAAACAAGCTCTCACTGCTAACTACAATGCACTCATGACTGCTTTCTGACATGCGTGCAAAAAAGACCACGACAGGGGGTCACGCAACTTCAAAAATAAAGAAACATTTATTTAGAACCAGGGTACAAGGAATTACTTTGTTCCACAATTGGGAATCCTCTTCCTCTAAATAATAACTTGCTCTTCTCCTATTCAGCACTTCAATGCAGCATTTTTTTAAATTATGTGAAGAAGCACGCCACTAGAAACTCACAATTGTCATTATCTGATTGTATGGAGGGCACTGGGATCGTTTGGAATGAAGGCTTGCAAGCAAATCTTTTGATTAGACTAAAATGAAACATGATCGAGCTTCAGTCTAGCAAGCAATGCTAGATTGGTGCTTCTTGGGAGTGGTCAGGTCAGCAATGGTAGCCATGTGTCAGAGCATCCATTTATTCCTTCACAGTGGAAACAGGACTGTCTTGGTACCTGTTTCATGGTGGAAGCAGGACTTAGGGCCACAAGGATGCGAAATTGCTTCAGCCAGTCTCTAAGAATATACTTGAATGTAAAGACACATATTGTTATGTTTCAAAACAAATTCCTAAGGTCAAAACAATTATACAGGTATTCCCACCCCCTGTACCTCTGTGCCACCCCATGATGTTAAGTTGTTTTGACTAATTAAATGACAGTTCTGGCTCTATATCAGTACCAGCCTGTACCACAGCCCTCCTGAATCAGAATCTCTGAGGATGTTCCAGACACCAGCCTTCCTTAGAAAATATCTAGGCAATTCTAATATGCAACCAGAGTTGAGAATCACTGAATTAGAAAACAGCAGAGCTCCAAAAAAAATATTGCAACAGCATCTGCTAAAAGATACTATGGGTATTCGTTTCCTGAAGCTTCTGTAACAAATGACCACAAACTGGATGACTGAAAACAACAGAAATCTATTTTCTCACAATTCTAGAGGCCAGAAGTCTGAAATGAAGGTGTTGGCAGGACAGGCGTGTGTCCGCTGGGCAGCTGCACTCCCCCTGGAGGCTCCAAGCTAGAGTCCTCCGTGCCTCTTCAAGCTTCTGGCAGCTGCTGGCAATCCTTCACTTGAAGCTGCAGTTCCAATGTCTGCCATAGCCCCATGATCTTCTCCCCATCTGTTTGTGTTTTTCCTCCATGTGTGTCTCTTTTATTGGATGTAGAGCCTACTCAGATAATCCAGGATAATCTCAAGATTCCTAACTTAATTACATCTGCAAAGAAGACTCTTTTCTCTGAATAAAGTCACATTCACAGGTCCTGGGACACGGACACATCTTTGGGGGGAAGTCACCACTCAACCTAACACATCCTGGGTGGAAAGAAACTTGACATTCTAAAATCACAAAGTCTCAGGGGTTTTTGAACCCTCTATTTTGGAGCTCATTCATTTATTCCATGTGTATTTATTGACTGCCACTCCATGCCAGCATTGTGATACTTGGGAGTTTTATTCTGTGTTTTGGTGAAGCCTCAGGGCTCCACAAATGTTAGGAGAAAACTTCTTGGATGTTAAAGCTGATGGAGTCAATAATTCTCATGTCAGAATGCCCCAGGTCTAAGTCTTAGAATTTATTTTCTTTTATTTCCACACCTGCTAGATAACTCAGCCAGTCTGAGGCCTTAAATGCAGGCTATCATGACTTTCTGAGAATACGACCCTGGCTTTGACCTCAGCTGTGAGCCCCAGACTCACGTATCTAACTTCCTACTGGACATCTCTACTTGAAGGCCTAGATATCTCTCAACCAAGTTGAGAACTTTTGCTCTCTCCTCCCAAATATGTTCTCCACTGGTCTTCATCTCCGCAAAGAGCATCACTATAATCCTACCAGTCATCTTTGAGTCACCGCTTTCCCTCTCCAAGTGTGCTTTCCAGTGCACTTCAAGTAAAATCCAAGCTGCTTTGCATGTGCTATTCAAAGTGTGGACAACAAATCCATGAACGGTGTGTTTCTGGTTTTATGGCAAGTTAAGATATGAGAGATTTATATTTTCTTTTCTGTACATCTTTGTGTTCTTCACAAAGAACTAAATTTTTTTAAATGAATGTGTCTTTTGTAAATCATATGAAAAGAATATTTATTAAACCTCAAATTTGGGGTTTGATTTGGAAGACATTAGCAAGTTATTAGGAATAAGTTCCCATCCCCAACTAACTTGGATCCTATAGTCCAAGCAATAGTCACTGTCTATCACTCATTTGTTCCTCCAGCAAGCCCTTATTCAGTTACTTGTGCTAGGCACTGAGTTATATTGGATGTAAATATTAACAGCAGGCAGGGAGTGCAGCTCCCAGGCATAGGCAGCCATTGCCCTGGAGCACAAACAAGTGTCCACATCTCCTGCAAGAAGAGGAGCTGCTGCCATGCTGGGAAACTGGAGCGCAGTTTGAAAGAAACATTTATAAGAAGAAGATCCAACCACCTTCAACTTAGAAGAAGCGAAAGAGCTCTGTGGACTCCTCCGTAGAGAGGGAGGGGCATGTGAGTCAAGAGGCCACCTGGATATTTCAGTTAAAGAGTTTATCTTTAAAGGATTGCTGCTTCTCTGCTGTCATTTATAAGTTCATTCAATAAATATTGAGCACTTTCTATCTGCCTCTGTTGAGTTGGGAGAACGATGAGCTAAGAGTGAGTTTTGCACATGAGATGCTTGAGACAAAGATGCAGGGAGAAAAACATGTCCATGACAGCTAAGAGAGAGATCTCGTATTTTACGCACCCCTGGTTGTCCAGTGAGAGAAAAGAGCACTGTGCTATAAATTAGGATGTCAAAGCTCTATGGTCTTGAGTGAGTTATTCTAGATTCTGGGTGGGCTTTAGTTTTCTCACTTGAGAGTATTGGGCTAAATGATCTTTAACTTCTCATCCAGATCTAAAATGTATGAGATGATATGGTTCGCAGAGACCATACATAGGACTAACTGTAGAATTCTAGGAGGAGCTCTGGTACTGATTGACAAATGCCAACCCTTACAGAAGTAGGCTCCTCTACACCCAATTTGGCACTTCCATAAGATTAAGCAGAATTCTTCATGTCACCACAAAGCAGCTAAGTTTTATGATGGTGACTCCCTTACTTCTCAGTTTCTCTTCCTCACCAACATTACCCATACCAGCTCTCCTTCTAAACCCAAAAGTTTGAGGATGTGTTCAGGATGACTTGGTTGTAAAAAGAGAATAAGTACTTGAGCTCTGATGCCCAGTTTTACCATTTATTATCTGTTATGGGTTGAATTGTGTCTCTCTCAAATTTATGTGCTGAAGTCCAAACCCTGAGTAACCCAGAATGTGACCTTATTTAGGAATAGGGTCACTGCAGGTATAATTAGTTAAGATGAGGTCATACTGGAGCAGGATGGGGCCCTAATAAAATATATTGGTGTCCTTATAAAATGGGAAATTCAGACTCAGAGCCTTGAACACAAGAAGAGCATCATGTGAAGACTGGAGTTCTGTATTACAAGCCGAGGAACTACCAGAAGCTGGGAGAGAGGCCTAGAAGAGGTCTGTGCTCATCACCTTCAAAGGGAACATGGCTCTGCTGATGCCTTGATCTTGGACTTTTAGCCCCATGACTGTGAGATGATAAATTTACATTGTTTGAGCCACTCAGTTTGTGGAAGCTTTACTCCTTAACTCTTTACTCTCTATGGTTTCCAGTCCCTAAAAGCACCCTGATTTTTCATGTTCACTGACATCTTTGTGTTCCTTCGGGTCTGCAGCAATGACTAAACATTTCCATGAGAAGGTTGCTCACCCTTCCATTATTACATACTCTTATGCTGAGCTCTAACCTGGCCTTTGAATCATTGGTGCTCAAGGTGAAATCATTTTCATGGCATAAATAAATAGTTAGCTTTCATAAATTCAATAGATTTTGTGACTACAAAAATATTACATATTATAAACTTTTCATAATTGAAGGTGAGCCAAAATCTCTAAGAAATTATCTTGTTTTCTACTACTTTTCAGTGTCTCTCGTTTCTTATACTAGAATACTTTTTAGAAATGAAAAATTCATTACAACAAAATTTACTAGGCAGCTGTCTGCCATGATTTGTAAGAACATATATCTTTTCTATTGCTTATGAAATGAATTGAAAGCTTGAAGGTGTTTTTAAGCTGTGTGTGTGTGTGTGTGTGTGTGTGTGCGTGTGCATGCACACATGGTCCATGAAAAGTAACTGAATGAGTGCAGATGAGGGTCAATGAGAAGAGCCATTTTCAAAGGGAATGTCAGACAGACCCAGACACCATGGGTAGTTGGTTTTTGAAAGCAATGATAACGTAATGAAGTTGGAGTAAAAGCTCCAGATTCAGGTCAAGAAATTTTTGAAAAAGATATTTTTCCTTATTTTTAATGATAGAATTTATTTTTGTCAGCTCTTGAAATTAATAAGAAGGCTCCTCTGTGGCTTCTCTGAACCTTGTCTTCATATGTATTTGTCATAATTAGTGATGGCGATTCCTAAGTTCCAAGGCTAACGGAATAGCAGAGCTGTAAAAAGTGCATACCATCATTTGACTAATTAAGCAGAATCTAAGAAGAAAACAGTTAACTTCATTTCTGGGTAGTAATACTGCATTATGGACAAGAATATCTTCTATATGTTAGAGTTATAAATGCCTATTAAGTTTCCAGAAAAAATTATTGAAAGTGCTTATAATTAGATGCTTAGACATATGTATGAGAATGTGTGGGGGTGTGTGTGTGGGGTGTGTGTGTGTGTGTAGTAATCATACTTAGAATCAAAATTTTCTCAGTGGAGACGAGTTTTCAGTACTCTGGCAGGACCTTTTACCCCTTCCTGGCTGTCCATTGAAACAGAGGTCATATGACTATTGGTTAAGAGGACAGTAATTTTTCAGACAAATAAACAATAATATAATAGGTCAGAGCAATGGCTTGTCAGTATAGACATTTGAGGCTGAGGGTAGCTTTAGTGGATTACTTAATGGAAATAATAAAAATGTGCTGAGTACCTACTGTGTGCCAGATTCTGCTCGGCCGCTTATATCCAATGCCATAGTTAATCCTTAAAATTATACTTTATTAAGTAGATATCTTCATTTTGGGTTTACAGATGAAATGTGGGGTTGAGAGAGAATAATCGCTTGTTCAGGGTCGTAGAACTAGTAAGTTTCTTGCCTGTCCATAGAAACTTCTACTGTTTGTCCTTATTTACAGAGTAACTTGCTGGGATTCTGACTGGGTTATACTCTTTTTACTGCTTACAGGAAATTCCTCCTTTTTGTAATTAATGTCATCCTCACAAGTACTCATCATTCTAAATTTTTTTAGCTTGAATTTTTTTACACTAAGTACAGGATGGTTCAAAATTCAAAATCTACAAAAGTATAGAATGAAAACAAGTGTTCTTTCCTCTCCTGTTCCTCACCCCATTATGCCCCATTCCCAGAGACAGCACTCAACCAGTTTCTTGTGTTTATTCTATACACTGATAACACACAAATGGGCAGATAAAAACAGACAAGTCACACACACAGACATCCT